AACAAGCAGTGCGAACACATCCTGTTGACAAGTTGTTGGAACAGCATTGCTACAAGTCTGCTGCAGGTTTGTTACAACTTGTGCGTTTTTACGTATGTCGTGTTAACACATGTGTGTCATTTGTCTCTACAATAGAAATGTGGAAATCCGATCCGAAACCAATCCGAATCCAATCGGATTCATTCGTAAAGATTCTTTTCATTCGTAAAGATTCAAATTGGCTTCTGCAAAGACTAGAGTCTAGAATTAAGAAATTAAAAATATTGTATGTACGCATGTGTAATACCCTTTGGTAATGCACCCTGATGCACCCTACATGGCAAAAAATGCCGAGCCTGTTGCTCAACAGGATTGAACAATGTTTTGCTGCCCACGTTGTTCACACTTGTCAACAATATTGAACAATGTTGTTGAGCCTGAATCGGGTGTAACAATATTGTTCAATATTGTTGACAGCTATGAACAATGTGGGCAGCAAAACATTGTTCAATCCTGTTTTCATCAGTATTGCATCAACCTGAGCGTTTTTATGCGTGTACTTTAGCATTTTAGTTTGTCTAACGTCAGAGTATTTTACTCTGTCTAATGCCAGAGTATTTTACTCTGCCTAACGCCAGACGATTTTACTCGTCAGGTGGAGAGTGCCGCCACTCAATGGGTTAAATGGTACAATTTTTCTGTTTCTGATGATATGCACCTTGAAAATATATGTTTGTGATGTTGCCTCTGACTTTGTCCACACAGAGGCAAACTGAAAAGATTGATTGACTGCAGTGGGAATCGAACCTGCAACCTTTGGTAGAGGGCCCCCTATACTTTTTGCGTGAAGCGTTTATTTTACTTAGCCGTGAAACGTGATCGGGCCCCCTATACGTTTTGCGTGAAGGGCTTATTTTACTTAGCCGTGAAACGTGATCGATGATTTTCTTAATCCGTGACTCGTGAAAAGGCAAAATATTTTTACGTGAAAGCATATTGTGAAGAGGTATAGGGGGCCCTCTTGGTACAATACACTGATATTGAAGGAACTAGACTCAGTTCCAAAATATCACCGACTCGAACCAATTTGACCTCGTAGCTCAGTTGGTAGAGCATTGGACTGGCAAACCAAAGGTCGCGGGTTCGATTCCCACCGTGGTTAAACAAACTTTTCGGCTTGCCTGGTGTGGATGCACTCAGAAACAGAGACAACATCACAAACACACACATGGTACAACTTGGCACAGGCAATATCATGGTAAATTTCAAGACAAAACTAACTCTACACCTACCGTACGACCAAGAAGCCTTGGTAAACGCTGTAAATTATTCATAACAAACTATATATTTGCTAAAATAATTTTATTTCAACGTTTAAAATACAACTGCCAGTCCACGTCGAAGTGATCCACAATAGTATTATTTCACGAAGTATTACGTAACCTTTGGACCTGAGCTTCCATGTTGCAGATTTTATCTTCCTTGAAACCTGGTACATGGATTTTTAAATTTTGGATTTTTTAAAAGCACATTTGTTTTGAAATATTTGATGTTTTCCAAGTTATTTAAGTTGTGTGGAGTTACTGTATTTTTCTTTTTAATGCATGTTTCAAATTATGTGCATAAAGAGTATTTTTAGGTACAAGAATAGGTTGATAATTTATAGGTCACAACCGTACAATAATTTTCCCTTGTTTTTCGACATTTTGCATCAGTAAAACGAGTTTAAGTTTATATAAAAACGTTGTAGGTAAAAAATCAGGCTATAGGTTTTGCATATTGCATAAAGTTTGGCCTAGCTTGCCTTAAAGTTGTGAAATAAACCATATAAAATAAGCCTTTCAGAAAAATTTTTTTTGAAATGGTAGAATAAGAAAGTGGAAAATTCAAAACTCTTCCCAAGTGTCTTACGAGAGGCATTCACCCCCCCTGAAAATATTCAAAATTGGTGGATGTTCAGGGGGGTAAATGTCTCTCGCAGGCGCACTGGCGGGAAAAGAAGGGTTTTAAACACTGGGTTTTAAATTTTGCCATTTTGGCAAGTAGTTTTAAAGAATATTCGTTCATTTTGTTATTTTAAACAATTTCCTAAAGGTAATGGTGCATATCTTGTTCTTTCCTAATATTTTTAACCACTGAAATGTAGAAATTGTGAAATAAAATAATTCTTTTTCTTTTATATCGGTAGAATGTCCTGACAAATCTATAGCAAATTTTCCGCAAACACGTGTCATGCAAACTTGGTGAAAGAAAGCAAGGTAAAAAGCCCTCAATTTTTCACAAGTGACTCGAAATATATTGTAGCAACTCACACGCAAGAACTTGTCAATTAAACAATTAAATACGGTGTGTGAAAAACGACAAAACATTCAATAAATTATATTGAATAATGTGACAAATTTGTTAATAGTTCAACCATGCATTTCCGAGTGTTTTCCCCACAGAACACTATGGAAGATTGGTTACCTCCACAAAAACAGGGGCATAGCTAGAGGGGGGTGTAACACCCCCCATTCATCATAGATTTGCTGATTCGGCAAATGTCTGCTAGACTCAGCAATTTTTAGGCAATTTGCAATTATAGGTTCCGAAAAATTTTAGTATGTCCAGAAAAAATTTCTCTCCCCCTACTCGCCAACTCTCCCCCCCCCCTACAATTAGCGGTTGTAGTGACTCGGTAAAATTTGCCTTGATAACTCGGCAAAATTAACTTACACCACCCCCATTCAAAGAGGTCTAGCGACGCCCCTGCACAAAAATCAAAGTTACAGCCATGAGTTAGAAAAGCATTTTTAGAAAATATAATAACCCATTATTATATTTTAGCCTTGACAAGTAAAATCGTCTGGCATTAGTACAGGTAATAGGGTGGTTTCGAGTGCAATTTGGATAAAACATGCACGAGTAAGTTTTTCAAAGAGCATTAAAATAGCACAAGTCCGAAGGATGAGTGCTATTTGAGGTCTTTGGAAAACTCATGAGCGCTTGTTTTATCCAAATTTCACAAGAAACCATCTTATTACGGATTAATAATTTACATAAAAATGTTCGAGACAATTGTAGTTTTAACTTACATACATTTAAAGTGAATTGTCCACTGACAAAATTTTCCTTCTTTGTTATATCACACTATACAATGCTAACACAAAATTTCACACAACTATGTAAGCAAGTAAAATCGTCTGGCGTTAGACAGAGCAAAGTAATGTTAGGTGCATTGCAGCTTAATAGGTTAATACATTAGGCTAATTACTAACTCGCTGTCATGAAATTGGAGAAGCCAGTGACAAAAAATAGATTTTTATGATAATTTATTTCATACTTTATTTAAATAATATCCGAAGTACTACAGGGTGCAAAAAAAATGAGAGCTTTAGAAAATCAAACTATTGTTGCACAGGATTTTATGCTCCTGGGAATTTAAAATAGATTCAAATCGAATGAAGGAGCAATTAACTGCATAAAAATTGTCAAATTACTAATTAGTCATATTTTCGAATAAAAATGGTTCAACTGACCACAGAGCAACAAGATTTCACTGTTTTATGTGCTGTTAAATTAACAAGCACATGTAATTCATATGTTGGACAAAACCAAAATTAAAGTTTTAATTAAATAACTTTGTCATGCATAAAATTCACTTCTGTTTTAGCAATAATAGCTTGATTTCTAAAGGTCTTGTTGTTTTTTTTATACACCCTGTATAAATTAACAAATATTAATTTGAATAAACTGACTTTATATAATTGCTAGGATAACTTATATTTGCATTATGTCCAATGCAACTGAACTACAACTAATTTTATCTCTTAATTATTTACATAGATTTTGTTTCATTTATATATAATCTCTATCAATAATAGACATACATGTGTATTTGTCAGCAAACCTCTATTTTCATTGCACATTGGTTGTTAATTTATGTGCTATGACAAATGGTTATCACAGGGTCGTTGGAAGTGGGGGCGGGGGTCCTCAACATAAAAGTTATAAAGTTCATCACAAAATATTGAATTTTTAAATACAAGAAATTCACAACTTTGATAAAAATGCTCTTCCAAGGCTTTGGAATTGCAAAATTTTTCTGTGGGAGCATGCCCCCAACCCCCTTCATTAAGCCCCCCTCCCCAATAACAATTTGCTTCCAACAGCACTGTATCACAGTGTCTTAATTTATAATCAATTTCTTTTATAACACTTGATATTAGGGCCAAAATAAATAATTGTTGGTTTCAAGTTTCCAAAATTCCGGTCAGCCTGTTTAATAAACATGGCTCTGACCATAAAATATTTTATTGATGTATACGTATACTGTAATTGCAGATTTTAAAATTTTTTACCAAAATATGGTTCTGTTCAACATTTTATCTGTCATGATGAAATGTGAAACCAACTTGTCATTTTTTGGCCTGGGGGATATGTCATACGTTAACAGGGAAATGCTGTTTACCCATCAAGCTGTTTACCAATCAAGCTGTTTATCCATCAAACTATTTACTGTACCCATCTTTTTCTATTTTGCACCTTTAATGCATTACAGCCCTAAGCTAGTAGTACAGACATGTTAAATATCTACCTACAACTACAGAGTGTCTGTAAAACTTGAACTTACATGGGCTGTCCGTTCACTGATGGTCACAGATGTCACAACCGTCCCTATGTTATCAGCATTTACCTAGATTGGCCGCAGTGCAACACAACCGAAGTTACATTGAGAGTTCACAGACCCAACAATCTTCCATTGATTCTTCTTCCGATCATAAAACTCGATAGTGTTGACAACACGTCCGCCAACAACATAGATGTTGTTGTTCACAACTGCGACTCCCAAGCATCGCCGCCCTTCGTTCATCGGCGTCACATTTTGAATCCACAGGTTGCGTAACGGATCGTATACCTCGACAGAATTCGCCCACAATTCCTTCGAGTCAGATCCACCGATCGCGTAGAGAAGGTTGTTAACGACAGCAACGCCCAGGCTCCATCGAGGGACACCCATACTCGAGATGAGCTGCCATTGGTTGGTTTGAGGGTCGTACTTTTCTGCCGCCTTCAACGGTGACCAAAGGTGATCCAGTCCGCCGACTGCGTAAATCTTCCCGCCCAACACGGCAACGCCTGGGTAATACCGAGCACACTTCATAGATGGTAAATCTGTCCATTTACATGCCTCGGGGTCGAATGACTTTGAACACATGCTACTATGCCCTCCAATGACATAAATCAAGCCATTCAAATGGCATACGCCTGCCCATTTACATTGAACATCTGGGCCGTTTGCGATCGTTATCCAACAATTCAAAATCGGATCGAACTTCCCGACTTTGTTACGACTCACCGTGAACAGCTCGTCATCAACGACCACAACTCGGAAATAATCCTCCTTAGCGACGGTTGCTATGGTCATCCCAGCCATACAAGTCCACTGTAACGTGTTCACGTTAAAACATCGAACCGTGCTCATCTTTTGCCCGTTAGACCATCCACCGATCACGTAAATATCCTCCGAGGCCATCCGAGGCTTTAGGCGCGGGTTTGCATCGTGGACCGGCCGTCTGGGAGTGGAGTTGTACCGGATAGCTTCCCTAACCAGCTGTCGGCAGAGGGTGTAATTTTGGCAGAACTCCTTGACGTGGACATTATGCATTATGTCGGCAATGTTCATTAGGGGGAATCGAATGTGTTGCAGGATTTCGGTAACCACGGTACACCGGTTGGCGAAGTCGTATTTCAACCATTGCCAAACCGCATTCACAACTTCACATTCATCCTTCACTTTCAAGAGATCATCACTGACTAGTAACTCTAGTTCATCGGGAGGCAATCTGAGGAATTCCTCCTCCTTCACCACGCTTCCAAAATGCCACAGGCTAAACCGCCATGCTTGCTTATACAGGAAATTCAGCGAGTATCTCTGAGCGACCGTCTTCAACCCCAAACAGTTCCCAGCCGTTATGTTACGACGCAATAATTTCTCGCATTCTTCAATGATATAGTCCAAATGTAGCAAACAAGCGATATTTAAGACGGCTTCGACTTCGGTGATATGGATGTGTAGTTCGGACGTGTAAAAGAAGTCGATAATCTTCATTAATGCAATCGTATCGATGTCTTTCAGCACGACTCGTGGCTGTAAGGCTTCGATAAACCCAGAGAGAAACATCGCTCGGAAATACGGAGAACAAGCGGCTAAAATCGCGCGATGTGTGGCAATTTCTGTGCCATTTACAAGCAGTATGATATCGCACAGCTCCCGTTCGCCACGCATCTGGTTCAGAGTTCGCAGGGTCTCTTTCGCCAACGAGTCTTCCTGTATCAACACGCTCGTCGTGTCTAACGCCATTTTAATTTTACAAACGTTTTAAACGTGGGTTTTTTCTTCGATTGGCTAAAATCAAAGTACATCTGTAGACATGTGGCGAGCTTTCCGCTCGGCCCTTTGTTATTGTTGTTGTTGATATTTTACACTTGCTTCAAACATTCTAATTGAATTCTAATTAATATTTCCACTTCCGGTCGAGCGTCACGCAGCTGAAATTCTCAAGTGCTTTATGTAATATTCCAGTTTTCTTCCTATTGTATATTGGATTTATAAGTCTGACAGCTTGTGATATTGTACTTAAAAATAGACCACCTTTAAAGACCCAAATTTTTACTTTATATGGTATCGAAAATCTCGCGTGCCAAGTTCTTTTTATTCCATAACAAAAGGACCTGTTCATGCTTATCGTATGAGCGCATTTTTTGCTAAAATTATCCGATGACAGAAGTGGATGAGATGTAAATTCATGTAATGCGCTTGCTGAAACTCTATAGGGTCAAGGGCGCGGAGTGGACGTAGTTTAGAGGGTTAGGGTAAAACGCTGATACGGACGGACGGATGACCTATTTTTCTCTAAAATATGTTTTAAACATCATATCCGCGTTTTACCCGATCGGGTAAAACGCGGATATGCCTTTGAAAGAGCCGAAAAGCATATTTTACACCATATCCGCGTTGCGGATATGCCTTTGAATGAGCCGAAAAGCATATTTTACACCATATCCGCGTTTTACCCGATCGGGTAAAACGCGGATATGATGTTTAAACATATTTTAGAGAAAAATAGGTCATCCGTCCGTCCGTCCGTCCGTATCAGCGTTTTACCCTAAACCTAGTTTAGATTGGGTATAAATTAGCGGATGGGGAAGTTTATCACAATTTCGCCATTGAAGTCGCGTTTCTTGACGCATGACACACTCCAAGGAATGAGTCATCAGATCATAGATGAAAGTGGATGAAAGCATGGATCCAGCAACATTTTTTATGGCGTTGCTGGGGGACATGAGTAGTTTCTTGGAATAAATATAATTTAATAATTATGTAAAATCTCTCGATACTGCAGTACGTGAAAAAGAAAGTGGACATTTTTTCTCATTTGAATATTTGATCGCGAGACGTAGTTTAGATTGGGTATAAATTAGCGGATGGGGAAGTTTATCACAATTTTTCCATGAAATCGCGTTTGTTGACGCATGACACACTCCAAGGAATGAGTTATCAGATCATAGATGAAAGTGGATGAAAGCATGGATCCAGCAAAATTTTTGTATGGGGTTGCTGGGCGACATGACTAGTTTCTTGGAATAAATATAATTTAATAATTATGTAAAATCTCTCGACACTGAAGTACGTGAAAAAGAAAGTGGAAATTTTTTTCTCATTTGAATATTTGATCGCGAGACTAGTTTAGATTGGGTATAAATTAGCGGATGGGGAAGTTTATCACAATTTTCCCATGAAATCGCGTTTGTTGACGCATGACACACTCCAAGGAATGAGTTATCAGATCATAGATGAAAGTGGATGAAAGCATGGATCCAGCAAAATTTTTGTATGGGGTTGCTGGGCGACATGACTAGTTTCTTGGAATAAATATAATTTAATAATTATGTAAAATCTCTCGACACTGAAGTACGTGAAAAAGAAAGTGGAAATTTTTTTCTCATTTGAATATTTGATCGCGAGACTAGTTTAGATTGGGTATAAATTAGCGGATGGGGAAGTTTATCACAATTTTCCCATGAAGTCGCGTTTGTTGACGCATGACACACTCCAAGGAATGAGTCATCAGATCATAGATGAAAGTGGATGAAAGCATGGATCCAGCAAAATTTTTGTATGGGGTTGCTGGGCGACATGACTAGTTTCTTGGAATAAATATAATTTAATAATTATGTAAAATCTCTCGACACTGAAGTACGTGAAAAAGAAAGTGGAAATTTTTTCCCATTTGAATATTTGATCGCGAGACGTAGTTTAGATTGGGTATAAATTAGCGGATGGGGAAGTTCATCACAATTTCGCTATTGAAGTCACGTTTCTTGACGCATGACACACTCCAAGGAATGAGTCATCAGATCATGGATGAAAGTGGATGAAAGCGTTGGATGAAAGCATGGATCCAGCAAAATTTTTGTATGGGGTTGCTGGGCGATATGAGTAGTTTCTTGGAATAAATATAATTTCATAATTATGTAAAATCTCTTGATACTGAAGTACGTGAAAAAGAAAGTGGAAATTTTTTTCTCATTTGAATATTTGATCGCTCCTCTAATTTTTACTTTTTTTTCAAATATTTTATATGATGTTAGACTGACGTTTGCAGCAAAATTAAGAATTTGCTTTATTTTAATCAATCCGAAAGTACCAAACGAAATTAATTATTAATATTGGACTTATTAATATTGGACCTCCTTGTACCCCTTTGATCAAGGCCAAGCAGTATTTCAGTAATGATCCACCCAGTTTACTCAATACAGTTCTGCCAAGCACAAGCTCCAAGAATTACAAAATTGAGCAGCTCGAATAATTACTAGGAGCAACTATGAAATACGCTCTTCGCAAATTTTTAAACACCGATATTGGAAATTAAGCGAATGAAACAAAAATCTTGTTTGATGTATAAAATATTCCACAAGTTATAGGCCCATCTTAACATAGCTAACATACTTCATAGTTTATATGATACTCGAGGTCATGACTTCAATTTTGCCATTCCTAAGCCAAACACAATTTTTTTGAATAGCAGCCTAGAGTGGTATGGAATTCATTACCAATTAAAATAAGGAAATCAAACTCAATTTTCAAAAATAAATTGTAAATAGTAATCTGTTAATGTAAATCGGCGTTAAATTTTATTCATTGTAAATATTGCAAACAATTTAAATGGATTGCGTGCCTAAATAAAGTTCAATCAAATTAATCAATCAAATCATAACAGATTAACCATCAGCTGAAGACAGAACCATTCATCAGTCGGAGAGCCCACCAAGGGTCCTTCGCTAAAATACCATCTGTAACGAAGGATACAAACACGCCGGACGCCCCACCGGTCATTATTTATGGGGGGAGGGGGGGGGGGCGAAGAGAAATGTGTTTCTTGGTAAAATTTTTCCTCATTATCCAACCATTAAAAAGTCAAACCAATTTTTACCCAACTTCAAATACTCAATTAAAAAATAAATACCCACCCCTGGGCAAAAACGTCACAAAAGGATACCATTCAGTTGTCACACATGTCATTTACCACTTCTGTGACATGAGTTTGATAACTGTTTGTGCAATTATCTGCAGTCTAAAGTATCATATTGTCTGCACATGTACTTTCTTTGGCGACACCATTTGCCTCCTGAAAAATCGGAAAATTATCAAGAATAGTGACTCTGATTGATTGACATGTTGTGTTGACATATTACTGTTGTCATTGCTTTTTAGTCTTCAATATTTGAGTGAGCCATGCTTTGGAAATGACAAGAAATTTTTATTACACAACCCTTGAGTTGTTTTGTTTTTCATTTACCCAACCTTTTACTCACTCAAAATTTTGTTTACCCAACCCTTTTCTCTTCTGGGCCACCCCCCGCCATAAATGAACAGCTCTTACCTGATTTCGTCCAATCCTATTGACCGATTCTACCACCTTTTACATTATTTTATATTTTATGCATTACGTATACTATTTAAAACACGACCAGGAGTGCATCATCAGATATAAAACATGAGGCGACAGCCGAGTGTTTCATATCTGATAAAGCATGCACTCTGTGTGTTTTAGATGGCTTAAAAAACGACCCATCTTATTTTAGGCCTGTTTCGTACGTCGAATTTAATTCAGATGAATTTAATTCGTTATTAAATTCAGCATTACAATGGTTTCGTTTCAAACGACGAATTTAATTCAGACGAATTCATACTAGCGATTATGGATAACCCAGAAATAAAAACCACGAGATTAGAATTCAGAAAGAGAGAAACAGACATTAACATTATTTTTGCATTTAATTCGACACGACGATAAGACGTCGTACGAAACGAAGACGCGCTACAGACGTTGTATCCGTCTGACCATGACGGATAAAACGTCTTGGACGAATTTAATTCATCAGATGAATTTAATTCGTTTCATACGATGCACTACCGTCTCATTTAATTCGTTCAATTAAGGGACTGGTCATAAAGTAATTACTAGGGGGTGTGGAGGATATTTTTGGGGGGTACGAAAAAAACCCAGAACCTCTGAGAGGGGTACGAAAAAAACAACAGAACCTCTAGAGGGGTACCAAAATCTTAGTAGTATAGGTACGGAAAAAAATTACATTTTATAATTATTGTTGAATATTGAATGTATTTGTGCCCAGATTTAAGTTTGGAATGAATTGTTTTAATACTGTAATTATTATTAAATCAACACAAAGTATATATGTTTCAGTCTGACTCAATGTCAGATGATAAGTAGGATTCAGTATCCGTGGAACTTTTGGAGTATAAATCTGATACATCTGAATTGTCAATGACAATGCTAGCAAGCTCACACCATTAGAACCTGTTAATGATTGAAAGGGGGGATATGAAAATTTTCACTTACATTGAAGAGGATTACGAAAATTTTTCCATAGGTTTTTGGGAGGGTATGGAAAAATGTACTTGAAATTTCATTTATCCTCCACCTCCCTCTAGTAATTACTTTATGACCGGTCCCTAAATTCTTCTGAATTAAATTCGACGATAGTGCGACGCATGAATCAGGCCTAAGCCGATAAAATCAAAGCTATAACGTTTATGTTAATGAACATGATTCCTCATGAATTGTCAATGAGTTTTTAACAGGCTAATGAACAGTTTTTGAACAGAGATTGTATGTAAAATAAGGCAAAGTGTAAGAATTTAAGATTGAAAACAATTATAGCCTTTTGAAATGCGCATCAAAACGATGCTAGTTAGTAATTTCTCAAAGAGAATACATAGTATTATATTAATATATAAACTATTTATACTTTGTGAAACTTTTGTGAAATTGTCTTTGAAGTATTCTACAGTACAGGGTGTCCCGAAAAAAAGTATACCTTTTAAAATTGCATGTCCTATTGTAATAATTTGAATGCCTGAGCATTATGCCACAGAATAAGAAGGTACAGCAGAAGCGTAACTCGAGTCGGTTCCCTTATTGTTTTACGTCCACGAAAATTTTAACTCGCTCACGCCATCCTGGCTAGTACAACCGGAAGTTTTTTATCAGGTTTTGGTAGGTACAAAGTGCCGGTTGTACTAGCCAGGATGGCGTGATTGATGACGAATCGCTTGTAAAAACGCGGACAAATATTTGCTTGAGTTACGCTTCTGCTGTACCTTCTTATTCTGTGATTATGCTGAACCATGGAAGCATAAAATACAGGGTGTATTGAAAAACGAAACCTGCAGGGTGTTAGCTAGCCCATATACTGTCCGTTTGACGGACTCTTCCCAATTGAAGTAGCTAAGGGGCTTTCCCAACTTTCCCAAGGATCTACTGGAAGATTTTTATATTTTTTTATGAGAAAGTGCATTTCGTTTGATTTTATATTATTAGGGACCGGTCATAAAGTAGAGGGGGGGGGGCTATGAAAATTGATTTCTTAAAGACTGGTTTACAGTGACCCACCCCCAAATTGTGACAATAAATTGAGGTGGCCCACCCCTAGATTAGAGCAGAAATCTTAGTGACCCCCCCCCCTCCCGTCATGTAGATAATGTACTGTACGGTAATGTAGATAGGTGCGCGTATGTTGGCAGCATTGGCTTACCACGATTCTTTACTAGTTTAGTCAGAATCCCCGAAAAATCTCCGAGATTGAAATGTTGTAACACACCGCCCGACTCTTGAACATAATTCAACTATGTCCAAACATAATGCATGACAGTACATTGAGTAGACTACGATAGCTAGAACACTTCCCAATGTACTGTATACAAATGTAAATTCCTGTTGTTTAATATATAAAGTTAATAGGTTAAAGAGATTTCGCAAAAGTTTTTATTTGCTATTTATTAAATTGTGAGACGTGAATAATTTTACCTGACCCACCCCTAATACAGTGCATAAATTTTCCTGACCCACCCTTTTCGACGTGTTGAAAAATAGTGACCCACCCCCAATTTTTCATAGCCCCCCCCCTCTACTTTATGACCGGTCCCTTATATCAAAGAACGTTTTGTTTACTTTTTCTCATTAACTATTTTCTCAACTGTATCGCGTTTCATTCATATCGGGTGTGTATTCACTGAAATGAAATGTACCGGTAATCCATCCGTGTTCATTCACCGGAAATGAAATATACAAAACGAAGTGCCAAAAAACCTGATAAGTAGTAAGTAAGTAAGGCATTCGAATTTCAACAAAGGCTTGTTTTCAGAAGGTATATACCATAGCCAGGCCTC